CCCAACAATCTTCTATTCATTTAACTTTTTGAAACTTTGCACTTTTAGAGAGGGGAAAGGTATTGACTCTGTGTACACAAATTTGAAGAGGGACAATAGAGTTGAGGTCTGTTATTTCTCACCTTTTTATAATATACACACACACACATATATTGGCTGTTAACAAGCATGTTACTTCTGGAGAGACAAATCCACAGTTTGAGAACTGCAAAACTAAGCATCTCCGATGGAATCTTCTAGACTGAGCACTGAGTCCCATTGGGTAGATAGAAAGATTCACTTAAATAATCTATAGAGAAGCCTGTGAAACCCCATAAGACTGGGTCCTTAATCCATGACCTATTGGAACTCATTTACAAAACTTCTCTTAAACATTATGTGAATATATTGTCTCATGCTATAGAATTAATAATCCCTATTCCATGATGAGATATCTTTGAGCTATAATGTATTTTATTTAAAACTATCTTTAGATTGCTTTTTGAGGGGGAAAAAACATTTTATCAAAAAATCCAATTTAAATAAACTCCGATTAAAAAAAAATCCATGATTTTTATCTATCTTGGCCTGGATACAGCTGAAACCCTAAACCTATGAGGTACGAACACATCTGACACTTATACTTTCTGATTCCTCCCTTTTCTTGAACTCTGAACCAAAATGACAACAGAATGGTTTTCAGTTAAAATGTAAAACTGCACAGCAGCCATTGCTCTACAACCTAGCATGGGACAGAACCTGCCACCCTTTGGGAGTTTAAGTGATCTCCTCTCATCTGACTCTCATTCTCCATCCTTCCTGCCCTCGGTGCTGCTTTTCATGCTGTCAATCATGACATCCATCCCAACCTCCTCAGACTGTTGGCTGGAGTCTCAGAGAACTGGCCACCTTGGTTTTGCTCCCATCTATCAGAATCCTCTTTTGTTGCAGCATGCAGGAGAGAGAGAGGCTGGCCTGCTGGATAGGGAGCTAGCCTGAGACACCCCGGTTCTACTCCCCCCATGGACTTCCTGTATGACCTCAGGCCAGTAGCTTAAGGACACAATTTTAAAACTGTTTAGGCACCCAAATATGCAGCTAGGCATTAAATGGCATTTACAAAGCACCTAACCTTCTACGCCAGGGGCGGGCAAACTTTTTGGCCTGAGGACCGCATTGGGTTTCGGAAATTGTATGGAGGGCTGATTAGGGGAGGCTGTGCCTCCTCAAACAGCTAGGCGTGCCCCCACTTCTTGCACCGACGGCCCCCCTCAACTCCTGCCCCATCTAACCCCCCCATTCCCTGACTGGCCCCCCCGGAACCTCCTGCCCCATCCACGCCCCCCGCTCCCTGTTCCTGGAACCCCCACCCGTGACTGATCCCTGTTCCTGGAACCCCCACCCCTGACTGCCCCTGCTGTTCCATCCAACCTCTCTTCTCCTTCCTGACTGCCCCCCCCCGGACCCCTGCCCCATCCAATCACCCCTTCTCCCTGTCCCCCGACTGCCCCTGGAACTCCTGCCTCCTGCCGCCCCATCCAACCCCCCCCTCCTTCCTGACTGCTCCCCCTGGGACCCCGTCCCCATTCAACCCTCCTGTTCCCTGCCCCCTGACCACCCCCCCAAACTCCCCTGCCCTCTATCCAACCCCCCCCTGCCCCCTTACCACGCTACCTGGAGCACCGGTGGCTGGTGGCGCTACAGCTGTGCTGCCCAGCTGCAGTCAGCTGCACCACTGCGCATCTTATAGCACCGGGTCAGTCCGTGCTCTGCAGCTGCGCTTCCCCAGGAGCTCGCAGCCCCGCCGTCCAGAGCATTGCGCTGGCAGCGCACTGAGCTGAGGCTGCAGGGGAGGAGGAACAGCAGGGGAGGGACTGGGGGCTAGCCTCCCGGACCAGGAGCTCAGGGGCTGGGCAGGAGAGTCCCGTGGGACGGATGTGGCCTGCAGGCTGTGATTTGCCCACCTCTGTTCTAGTCTTTTTTGAAAATCGCACTAGGTGTCTAAATACCTTTGAAAATCTGGCCTTTAGTGAGTGTGTGCCTCAATGCCCCATCCACGCAATGGGGATATCAGCAGTGTTCTACCACACATACATACATGACATCACATACAGCCCCCAGCTAAAAGCTCTCCAGCACATCATCAATGATCTACAACCTATCCTGGAAAACGATCCCTCACTTTCACAGATCTTGGGAGGCAGGCCAGTCCTCGCTTACAGACAACTCCCCAACCTGAAGCAAATACTCACCAGCAACTACACACCATACCACAGAAACACCAACCCAGGAACCAATCCCTGTAACAAACCTCGTTGCTTACTCTGTCCTCATATCTACTCTAGCGACACCATTAGAGGACCCAACCACATCAGCCACACCATCACCTGCACATATAACAACTTTATATATGCAATCATGTGCCAGCAATGCCCCTCTGCCATGTACATTGGCCAATCCGGACAGTCTCTATGTAAAAGAATAAATGGACATAAATTGGATATCAGGAATGGTAACATACAAAAGCCAGTAGAACACTTCAATCTTCCTAGACATTCTATAACAGATTTAAAAGTAGCCATACTTGAACAAAGAAACTTCAGAAACAGACTTGAAAAAGAAACTGCAGAACTAAAGTACATTTACAAAGTTAACACCATTAATTTGGGCTTGAATAGGGACTGGGAGTGGCTGGCTCACTCCAAAAGCAGCTTTGCCTCTCCTGGAATTAAGTATCACCTGAAGAAGTGAGGTGTTTGCCCAGGAAAGCTTATGCCCAAATAAATCTGTTAGTCTTTAAGGTGCCACCAGATTCCTTGTTGTTTTTCTCCTGGAATTGACACCTCTTCATCAATTATTGGGAGTGGACTACCTCCACCTTGATCAAATTGGTCCTGTCAACACTGGTTCTCCACTTGTGAGGTAACTCCCTTTTCTTCGTCAGTATAAAAAGGCCTGCATCTGTAATTTTCACTCCATGCAGCCGAAGAAATGGTTATTTTACACATGAAAGCTTAGGTCCAAATAACGAGTCTGGTGGCACCTTAAAGACTAAAACCTCAATTCTTCGGAGGCAGACTAACACGGCTACCCCCTGATACTATGCCCAAATAAATCTGTTAGTCTTTAGTGCGCCACCAGACTCCTTGTTGTTTTTGTGGATGCAGACTAACACGGCTACTCCCGATACCTACCGCACTGAGGGGCTGTGAGGAGAAATAGTTTAAACCTTGTGAGGCGCTCAGATACTATGGTGATGGGGCCACATAAGTACCACAGGTAGAGTAGGAACTTCTCTATACCACTGCTATCCCTTCCCTTGGTTTTGGCCCCTTCTTTTCACCTATGCCCTCAAATCTCCCCCTTTTCTGAATGTAATCATGGCTCAGAGGGCTTGGCTGTATTTTTTCTGTGTTTTCTCAAAAATAACCCCCTCAGGGATTCCTGTTTTACAGGCTAGACTTCCACACACTTAATTTAAGCATCAGCCCTTTCTTATCTTAATCACCCTGCCTCTGTTTGTAAACAAAATACTGACTCCCAGGGGCACATCTCCCCTGCAGAACTTACATTTCACACTAAAACAAGGAGTCCAGACTCCATGCATTTGAAGTGAAGTTTTTTACCCACGAAAGCTTATGCCCAAATAAATCTGTTAGTCTTCAAGGTGCCACCAGACTCATTGTTTTTGTGGCTACAGACTAACAGGGCTACCCCCTGATACTTGACTACATTTCACACTAATGTTGTGCTGTAGTTAATAGCTCCACCTGGGAGCTCCCACACCTCCTGTAAGAAACTCAGGGGGGCTCCCGCTGCTCCTCTTCTCTCAAATGGTGCCCCTGGCACAGCAGGGGTAGAATGGCCAGGGCTGAGTGGCAGATTAGGCTAACTGCCCTTACCACGTACCCACCGGCTTCAGGCAGGTTACTTGCCATGGCTAGCCTGAGCTGCTGTCTGTGCCAGCTATTATTTATGTCTACACAAGCTGAGAATCACGTGCCCAGCACCAACAGTAGACGTACCACTTAATCCCAATCACGTATGGTAGCAATGGAGGTCAGCCAGGAGCAGCGCCAGGGTTTTTGCCACCCTAAGCAGCAGCACTCCTCCTCTGAGCATTCGGCGGTGGGGGTCCTTCCACTCTGCGTCTTTGGGGCACTTCAGCGGTGGGTCCCGGAGCGAGTGAAGAACCCGCCGCCGAATTTCCGGAGCTAAAGGACCCCCTGCCGCCAAGGGTGGCAAAATGCCACCCCCGAAATCCTGCTGCCCTAGGGGACCGCCTAGTGGAAGCACCGGCCCTGAGGCCAGCAGAAAAGGCAACTGGTGTCACATAAGGTAATTCTAAATGAACATGCAAAATGGGGTAGGAGTGGCTGGTTCTTGACACTCGGGCACACACCCACTCTTGTCTCTCTCCCCCCCCCATGCTTCACTCATATACCCAGCTGCCACCTGTGCATGGGCCTCAGTCCCACACCTCCTAGTCCCCCCTCACTAGGCCTCAGTCCCACACCTCCTAGTCCCCCCTCACTAGGCCTCGGTCCCACACCCCATAGCCCCCCTCACCAGGCCTCAGTCCCACACTCCATAGCCCCCCCACACTGCACCTCAGTCCCGCACCCCACAGCCCCCCACACTAGGCCTCAGTCCCGTATCCCATAGCCCTTCACACCAGGCCTCAGTCCCACACTCCATAGCCCCCCCACACTGCACCTCAGTCCCGCACCCCATAGCCCCCCTCACTAGGCCTCGGTCCTGCACCCCATAGCCCTTCACACCAGGCCTCGGTCCCACAACCAGCCTCTTGCCTCGCTCACACACCCGGCTGCCCCCTCTGCCTGGCGCTCCATTGCACGCGCATGCCGCTCTCTTTCCTCGGTTTCTCCGAGCCCAGCCGCTTCCTTTTCAGCATCCCGCGGGGCCCCTCCCGTCAGCCTTCTCCTTCCTTCCGCCTCCGCTCTGTCCCGCGCGCGCCTCCTCTCTATGGTTCCCCTCCCGGCGTTCCCTTACCCAGCGTGCACTGCGCCGGAAGAGAGTGACGACAATAACAAACAGCGGCAGCGGCTGCGCCAGGAGGACGGTGGCGGGGCTCGAGCGGTGCCCGGAGTCCCCCAACTCCCCCCGGGTCCGGCGCTTTCCCAAGCTCCTGAGGGAGCCCCCGACCGCGCTCTGCTGGGTGCGTCCGGAGCCCATCGGCCGGACCCAGCCGCAGTGAGGAGCCGCTGTTGCCGGTCACCGCAGGATGGTGCGCGGGGCCGCCTCGCCGCTGTGGGTGAGTGTTGCCCAGGGCGGGGGGGAGCGGGACCGCGGAGCCCCCCCCCCCGACTGCTGAGGGGAGGGGGAGTTCAGCAGGAGCTAGTGGGGGGGCGCCCCCTCCCCGCAGGCTGGTGGGGCGCGGGGGTGAGGGGCTCGCTGGGCTGCGTGGGCCTTTCCCCAGCAGCGCGCCCGGCTGACACCCGCTGGGCGCAGCAGAGAAAGAGCGAGTCGGGGTAGAGGTGGGATCCCTCCCCTGCCCCGGGGAAGATGGAGCGGGGGGCTGCCCTTAGAGTGACCCGGGGAGTAGCGTCTCATTGGGGAGGGCTGGGGCCGCCCCGCTCCTTGACAGAGGCTGTTTGTAAACAGCGCGAGGGAGCGGGGCTGGCCGGGCGGGGCTGTGCTCTCTGTTCCCTTCCCACCACTATCGGGAAGGGGATTCGCCCTGAAGTTACTACAGGGAATGACTCAGCCTGTCCATGCTTCTGTGCCTGCCTTTGACAACAGTCAAACCCGGTAAGAAGTATTAGGTCTGCGAGCGTGCTGTATCTTCAGCTTCTGCTGTGATCCACTTTCTAGGAATCACATGTTATCTACTACTCTTTCACACTGGATTCTCCTTGTCATTACTTCTTAAAAATACTTTCAAACTATGAACTAAACAGTGTAGACTCAAGTTGAATTTTATTTGTACCTTGTTTAGGGTTCATCTGCTCTGCTTCCTTGTGATTGTTACTACAAATGATTGGGAACAGATTGTGCAGAATAAGTTATTTTGTAGTTAGTGAGTAGTTGAGCACATTTAAAGTTAAAAAGGAATAATATGTCAAATGTACTTTTTTACATTTTTACATTGTACACATTTATGATATTTCAGAATGTTACAGTTTTATATTTTGTAAAACAACATTAGACTTCCTCATAGCACCCTGCTATAAACCCCTTGCTGAAATGTAGGATAAAGTCATTGCTTATTGCCAGTAAAGGCCCTAATCCTGTGAACACTTATGTACACACTGAACTTTACTAATGTCAATAGTGTACTCATGTTAGTAAAGTTAAGCACATGCTTAAGTAATTGCAGTATCAGGACAGACTGAACAGATTACTCTTTACACCAGCAATCTGCTCTTCTTTAATGTAATACTGTTGTTTGTATATTGGATTTTCATAGCCATACTGATGTCTGACCTGAAAGCACCTTCTCTCCCTGCACTGGGCAGTTATCAAATCAAGTGCATTATAGATTTCACCTTGCATATTAATTTAAACATTTTGATTTTTAAATACGTTTTGCTTAACAGTTGACAACTTTTGAGACTTTTTAATGGGAGATTTGAATGAACTATGCTGAGATGTGAACTTCACTGAAATGAATGCAGTTACAACACAGATAATTGATCTATGTTAAGACTTAAAAATCTGCTTGCCAGTGGCAGGTTAGGAAGTTTTCTTTGAGGAGTGAGGGTGCCTAATTATGCTATTTATGTGGAATGTAAGCATTAATTTAAAAAACTGTTTACAATCCTTGCTGCTAACCTTCCAAATATGAATCAGTTATAAACTGATTTAGTGTGACTTTCGTCAGTCTGTAGACAAACTGTGTCAACATGTTTCCTGCTTTTCATGTGCCTGCTTGGGAGAAGTAGAGCAGAATCCGGCCGTGGAGCTCTTAATAAAGGAGGAGGAGGATCTGTAGTAAGTAGCTGAGAAGAGCAGAGTAACAGAGACACTTCCCTACCACTACACATAGATGCACACGCAGCGGCCAGGAAACTTTAAGAGAAGGAAGGGGGCAATAAGGAGGCTGGAGAAGGGATAAAAATCTACTTCTTCCTTTCATTAGCTAAAAGTGGATGGGGCAGCATAATATTTATCTGACAGCTGTCAGCCAGAAGCTGATATGAAAGATTAGCACCCTGGTGGAAATCCCACCTCCCTCTTCTTTCCCACCAGCACAGGCGTAGCAGATAGGCTGGGCTTCTCACCAGGTTATTACCCTAGATCTTGCTGGTTCAGCCCACCTGAACGTACCAGGTAACAAACCCTGACGATCAATTAAGAATATTTAATAAATATAGCTCCTTTCTCCCCATCTCACGGTGCATACTGTGTCTTTCTATGTACATCTTCTAGATTATAAGCTTTCCAGGGCAGGGATTGCTCTTGATAAACATATTGTCTGCTCTTAAACAATAACAATGCATAGAAGAGTTAGAGCATAAATCTTATTTCAGTTTTCAGCACTGTTCTGGAGGGGCTGCCTCTAGAGAGGAGGCTGTTCTCCATATCCATTCAGTGTTTAGCTTGTCTGCTGCAATTGCCATTAAATAGGTAAATTGAGATGTGGACACTTAAAAGTTAAATGAGTGGGTAGTGTTTGCTCATGTAAGTCTCCAAACAGCCATCATATACTCTTGGTTCCTACCAAATGGTGTTCAGACCTGTGATCTAGAAGTAAAACTGTATTAATAAAACTCAGCTGTTCAAATGAATTTGAAAATGGACAAGTTGAACTCAGTCTTCTTGGAAATGTGTATGTTTTTGTTATACCATTTTGGTTTTCACCTTAGATGATGGGGTGAGGCATTTTTCATTTGAAAACTTTCTTTGGTACATGTTAGACATTTTTTACACTGGTAGTGTATGAATAAATTGGAATTGAAAACAGATTGTATTTTCACTAGAAAACAGTATGGGATAGAAATGGAGATTCTTTCCAAAGTTTTTAGATATTGTTCTTATTTGATTAATTGGATAGTTGAGATGTCTTCCATTATCTTGGAAAAATCAAAGTAAAAATATTTTTCCCACTGTGAAGCTAAGTTTTGATAAAATATCAGATGCTTTGAGCACTTTGTGCAAGTCCCCACTGTTGGTGAAGGCTTGTCACGTATTTAAGTTAGTGGTAATTACATATGCTAAAAAAGAACATGCACTAATGAAACAGGAAGGAAATGAGACATTTAAAAGGAGGACAACGCATAGTTTTTCATCCAGTCACCATATTTGGCATAAATGGAAGGTAGCTACATTTATACTTAGTGTTCTAAGTGCTATCTGTAGATTTCAAAACATTTTACTATCCTAATATCAGGGATGTTGAAGGAAGTTGTGGCACAAGGGAGTTAAGTGATTGTCCAAGAGAACATAGGAAGCCAGTGGTGAAGCCAGGATTAGGATGCCTTATCTACTACATTTTGAAGTACATTACACATGTAGTTAAGTGCAGTATCACACCATGAGCATATTATACTAGGCTTATTCTATGATCTCCACTGACTACCTGTTGAATTCTGTGTGGAATATGGTTCAATACCAGCAACTTTATAAAGTCTTAAATGCCTGAGACCTACTTACTGAACTGGACCTCTTTGGTATTTAAAAGAAAAAGAAAATAAAGGGTGTGTTCTTGGAAAACATTTTCTGAGGACTTATTGGATATATTTTATGTTTTAGTGGTATACCTGGCCACACATTGGAGTAAACAAGATTGTACAGGCTTGGAAGATTTCACATTTGGGGGAAAAAGCACAGAGGTTTAAAACTGTTTCTAACTTTTGAGTTGTAATTGCTGCAGGTTATTGTTAAATATGTATGGAAAGGGAATGATTTCATATAATGTGAATTGTTACCTCTTTTCCTTGTAATAAGGGAAACCAGTGGAGAGATGAAATACAGACAGTGTTTGCCTCATTAGAAATCCTCACATTTGTAATTATTAAATGTGCAGGAGATAGACTAGATGATCATGATGGTCCCATCTGCCCCCTTAAAGTCTATGAGAGTGGGAATTTTGTGGAAGTATTGAGTCTGCTTGAAATAGGGGTTCCATGGTGGGTGAATAGTGATATTATCAGGATGTTTCTTCAGAAAAGCTGCAAAGTGCTTATTTGGATGGTGATCTGTTGCATGAACTCTTGGCCACTAGTGGAAGGAATGTAAGGAACAATGGTGCCATAAACTGGAGATTGGATTCTGTTTCCAGAGCTTGGGTTTGTTCATGGATGGCAAGGGGAGATGAGGCAATATGAAAACTTAAGGTATGTATTAGAATTGAAAATTGCATTCCCATTTCCTTTGGTTTTTGTTCGTAAATTTAACTCTGTAAAGAAGGTGTCAGTGGAGAAGAATCCTGGCCTTTGTTTCTTGTGATTTAATGTGTGGTTGGTAGTCAGTAAGATAAGTTATTTGAGAAAGGATGAGGCCTCACAGAATATGCATCTGTGTAATGTTTCAGGACTTGTTTCAGTGCACTTGATGCCTGCTGGGTGAGAATGTGGTATACCCAAGATAAGTGGATCCAATTCTAAGTGTATCCATCTTGTATGTAAGAGTTCTGAGATGGAGTTAAAATGAGACTGGTTTTAGTATATCCGTTTCTCCGTGGTATTGTGGAGTCTCCATAAAGTGCTGGTGCAGTGATAGTACTCAGTGACATTTACGTCAGCATAGGTTACCATCTCTAATTTGAAGTTGAGAACAGTTCTTTGTCAGGGCAGGTCCTACTCTGATGATCTGCCCCTAAGTCTAATGTGACCTAAGCATATTTAGAGGACTATGAGGGACAATACTGTCTCCCTGACAAACCATGTTGTTATTGGTTTGGAATACTGTACTCAACCATTGATGAAGTGATTCCTAGGTACCATCCTCCCTGGGTTCAGCTTCACAGGTCATCCTCATTTACAGCAAGTCTGCTTTTGACAAATGAAGCAGATTGGAAGATAGATCACTAGGGGCAGAAGTCTTGAGCTGAAACCAATTGTGAGAGGGAGGGTTTCTTTTGTTTTAAGTCTTAATAGCTTGGGTTTGGGGGAGGCAAAAAGAAGGTATAAAGGCCTTGATCTGAGGGTTAGGTTTTTTTGGGTGGTAAGCAGCTTGTAAACTGGGGCTCAATCCAGATAGAATTTAAGTGATGCTGGATTGGTTGGGAGAGCAACTAGGAAATAACATGAGGATTGTATCTTTCCCCTTTGCATGAAGCTGTATATCTGCCTTTTGTTCAAGTTTGCTGTG